TGTAAAGTTGTAATTATTTTAATTATTTTTATTAAAGTTGCCCCTGGTATAGGGGCAACAGTAATGGGGCAAGATAGGCACGTATATAAAATTATGTTATTAACAATGTATAAGTTGGAATTCACTATTAAAACAAAGAAATACAAATCCAACACCCATTTAATATTATTACAACGAAATGCAAGTTCAAAGACATATATACATGAATAACAAATGCAAACATGTTTTCATTTATCATCTGTTTGATTTTTATCCTTTGCTTCTAATGTGGCTTTATGTTGCCGATCTTACCCCGCTAGTCATGATTTCGAAACATTAAGTACAACCCTGAGAACAGAATGCCAAGCCACGATCTGGCCACGTGAATAAGTTGAAGTTACATCCTTCTAACAGGAAAAGTAACTTTCGTTATCATGGAATTATAACAAAACCTGCCAATTCAATATAAATGGAAAAAAAATATTATATGGAATTGAACGAAAATGAAAATTTGCTTGATAATTCAACTACGCTTGTTGGAGAACAATAAAAACACTACACTCAACAAGCCACCAATAAAACTCAACTGCCTAACCTATAACCAAAGTCTCCTTTTAATTTGTTTTTTAAAAAAAGCGCTTGACAAACTTGCCCCGCATGCCGAAGTTGCCCCGATCTCCCCTATATAAAAGAGAAATTAATAAAATAATATTTAAATTATAATAACGTAAGTATTCTTCAAGCAGATAAAACTATACAACTGGTAACACTACGTAATCAATGGTTAAAACACGGAAAGTGGTTATAGAAAGAGGAATTTACAAAAAAAAAAAAAAAAAAAAAAAAAAACAGAGAATATAAAAAAGAAACGAGCAACTATTTATTGTGACGTCTGAATGCCGGGATGCATTCTCTAATCATATTTTTTTAAAATCTAATTTCAAATCTACGCTTACTATTCCAATTAATAGTGACTTCACCTGTAAATCATGTTTTGACTTTTGATTAAGATTTCCTCTGTTTGCTAATGAGAAACTACACCAGTATAATAAGTCCGAATAAGAAACGAGCAATTATTTATTGTGACGTCTCAATGCCGGGATGCATTCTCTAATCATATTTTTTAAAAATCTAATTTCAAATCTACGCTTACTATTCCAATTAATAGTGACTTCACCTGTAAATCATGTTTTTCCTTAAACAATAGAGTCGTGCTGGTCGTCTAACATCTTTCGGGGAAAAGTTATGGATTTAAATAACATGACTCCAGGTTTGTATTAGTAATTCATATATAGTTATTCGGGGCTATCTAATCCTAATGTTTCCATAGCTAATCTCGTGTTTCATCTATCTAACTCCATTCTCGAGATTAACCAACTGAAAATTGTAAACCCAATTAAAGAAAAAGATTACTGGCTTATATAAGATGAATAAATTGAACGAATAAGAAAAAAATCAGATCTTAGACGTTGATATTAGAATTCCAACCTGAAACATAAGTAGTAAAACACAAAAATAAACCAATACCGAGTTGCATAACTCCCGGCAACATTTAAAATTTTGGTGGCGTTATCTGTTATCGTATTTTATTAGAACAGTTTTTTTATATAGGCTATTCTTAACTCTTATAAAATGGCAAAGAGGTGATTTTTGAAGATGAGATAAGTTTTTTAAACAATTGGAAATGCTAATAACGAGTAAAATCGTCATTAATCCTACTGGAAATACACACGAACCCCATTATCTCCCCCGTCGACTTTTAATTAGCGAAATTTAATAGCATCTATTCCTGTAATACACAAATCTCCCTGCAAAAGTTTAAAGATTTTTGACAAAAAGCACAGGAGTTATTAAGTTTCGAACAGGGTGAACAAAACCGTGCTCCCACACACACAATAACATTTATACATATAGATATTACCCCTAAACTTTTTTGTATTTCTCGACGTTTGAAGGCATCCCGAGTTTAAAAATGTAAAAATCTTGGGGAAATCATGTTTTGACCGATCGCCGTACTTCTCTTACATATAACTGCTGGCAAATTCATAGGTAACGAAATAAGACCAATAACATACAACAGATTTAACTGCTTATATAAACTTCGATGCACTTCGAACATTCTTTGTAGTACTATATAATCGGTACCTTCAGATTGGGTACTTCCCTGTTGACTGAATGACCAAGATTATAAAATCTACACGGACGGTTCCAAGCAAGAGGATCAAATGGGCGCAGCTTTTATCACGTACAGTACAACAAGGCAGGCAATATTATTCACCAGTCCGCTTTGAAATCGGTGAGTACTGTTCCGGAGATCTTAGCCATCACCAAAGCACTCCATCACATCAGTGAATAATGGTTTCCCCTAAAAAACAAAATAGCCATCTACACAGACAGCATTACAGCTCTTCGCTAAATTTCCAATACCAACGACAATGGCTACAATGTTACCACGATTCAAAAAATACTTATTAATAATAATCAACACCATCACATACCCTTAACTGAGTCGGTGGCCACTCTGGGGAGGAAAGGAACGAGACAGCTCACGCTCTTACCAAAAGAGCTGCGGTCTCGTCTCTTCCTTGTTCTTACAGTAAGATACCGACTTCCACTATCTATAGGGTATTTTTTTTAGAGATATACAAATTTAAAATGAAATAAAACACGTAAAAATAATGTTAATGGCCGTGGTGTTGGCTTTATTTAAAAGATAATTTTTTGCCATTAGTATTTGAACATGATTTCGGGCATATGGGCGCCACGGCTGGCTCGAATGAAGCGCAATCGGGAAGAACAATTTTCGACAACTTTATAGAGCAACTGGGGCTGTATATCGGCAATAACGCGGCAAATGTTGAGTAACTAACATCCATTAAAAGTCTCTGTTTGGTGTGCTTTATGGGCAAGTCGAATCATAGGCCCATATTTCTTTAAAGATGATGCCGGCCATAATGTTACCATCAATGGAGAGCGTTTTTGGAGCCATGATTGCTGACTTCTTCATTCCTCAGTTGAATGGTATTGATGTGGCAAAGCTTTGGTTTCAACAAGATGGCGCAACATGCCATACAGCGCGCAACACCATCAATTTATTGCAGAAACATCTGATGAACGCATAATTTTGCGTAGTGGATCTGTGAACTGGCCTCCACGGTCGTGTGATCTCACACCTATGGATTACTTTCTTTGAGGATATGTGAAGTCACTAGTCTACGCCGATAAACCACAGACGTTACACCATTTGGAAGTCAACATTCGCAGTGTTATTGCCGATATACGGCCCAGTTGTTCGATAAAGTGGTCGAAAATTGTTCTTCCCGATTGTGCTTTATTCGAGCCAACCATGGTGCCCATATGCCCGAAATCATGTTTAAACACCAATGGCATAAAATTAGCTTTTAAATAAATCCAATACCATGGCCATTAACATTATTTTTACGTGTTTTATTTCACTTTAAATTTGTATACCTCTAAAAATGCACCCTGTATAAATCACCTTTTGCAAACTTGGCAAGAATATTGGAACTGCACTACAGGACATCCCACTCATGGCTTCATTTCAGACATTTCTGCCTGGCTGAGTTGCAGGCATCTTGTTCCCAACTTTGCCTTGTCTCAAGTTCTCACTGGCCACGGGAACTTCAACGCTTACCTACCGGTTCCGGCTACGAGACAGCGAGATCTGCAGGTGCAACACGAACACCAAGCAAGACTACCTTCACCTATTGTTTGACTGTTCACTCTTCGACAGCAACAGAGAAAGACTCATTGAGGCTGTACTTTGTAACAATTGTGACCGTAGGGTCGGCACCTCTTCGGCGCCCTGTCAGGATGACACCACCGAGTCTCTAGGGGACTCGGAAATCGCGACTTTATGTCTAAAGATTCGCGAGCGGTAGCGTGTGAGCGCTTGGATTCGGAGTAGAGGTGAGGAGAGAGACGAGGAAGTGACTCACTCGGACTCCATATGTTCTAACAAAAANTATATATATACGATTTTAAATTAATTTTGATATTACTAGAAAATGCGTGGTTCAATCATGCCTCTAACGTATACACGATATTATTTGTTTTAAATTCCTTTCGTGTAGTAATGTGTATTGTATGACGGACAAGTTAAGGTATCAACCACCATTCTGGGCAATCTGAAAACTCATTCGGTCTGATCGAAAACTCCAGGAATTTTTGAGAATGTAGTCTAATCCGGGCATGTCGGGTCTGGAGGAATCCATGGATGCTCTTTCCGCTCTGTGGGTACAAAGAGCGGAAAGAGTAAAAATATGAGCACAAAAATAAAATACAGTAATAATAATAAGGAATGTACTGTTTTGTTACAGTCAAATATTTATAAGAATATTTAAGAACGATAGAAACAAAGTTACCAAATGTGTTAACAACATTTAGATTCAAAGATCAAATTAAATAATTCACATTTCACTATACATATTTTCCCTTATATCTCAGAATCAATAAAGGATACGACTAGTTAATTTGTAATGTATTAAGATATATAATCTCCATTCCCCCGAGTTTCCATTACGAGTCGAGTTCGCTTGTAGTGGAAGATATTGTATAATATAATGCACAGCCTTCTTATGCTGACGTCACTTGCCAACTAATCAATCATTCAACATAAAGTTACAGTAGAAATTCCTGTACTTATATTTGTTTACTTAGTAAGATGTTTTTCACTCTGTGCACGGGGGACAAAACAATGAAATACATTAAATAAACAGCATACAAAATTATAAGACAAATGCTATACAAGACTCTTACTGACCTAGCTATAACTTATAATCCTAATAATAATTTATAATAACTTGTAATTACTTTATTTCTAATGTTGGTGATAGTCACTATAGACTCTATATCAAATTGAAAATGGCCAGTAACAACAAAATGCATTTTGGAAAGGTTAATTAAATATGCTGGGAGTATAATAAGTCGGTTCATTAGTCTTAAGTAACTATTTTTTTGTAATTAATTAATTTTATTTAAATCTAATTAATTAATTGCAGGCTTATCAGCGTTGGGTAAACATAAATGGAGAAGATCAATCACTTCCACGATTAGAAAATTTTACCATCCCTCAACTATTCTTTTTATCTAACACTAATGTAAGTTCTACTAAATTGATACATAGAAAAAGACTCCATAAATTGATATATACTTAAATATTTTATAGTTATGGTGCACCGGAAGAAACAACTCATTCGACAAATATGGGTGAGTTTACGGTTAATTTTTTATTAATAATTTAGAGATTAAATCTCAAATAAACATCTTCACTGTCGTTTTATTTCGTTTACATTTTATTTTATAAATATGTTTTATAATTTTTATTTTTTAGAATCAATATTTCTCATAGAAATGTGAAAGAATTCAATGAAGCTTTTGATTGTAGGTCAAAATCTGCTTCCAACTCTAGTAAAAATGCAATATCATTTAGTGTTGTGTATTAAAAAATAAAAAAATTTAGTGAAATCATTTGAAAAATTAATTCGTTTCTTCAATGTTTGGTTTATTTAATTATACGTTTTTCATTATTTCAATACACACACAGCTGGTTTACTAACAACTGTGGCTTTTGGTAGGAGCTGTTTCTTAGGAAGAAAAGTAACTTTATTTCCTCGTTTTTTATTTATAACGTGTTTAGGCTATACTATTCATGTTGTATTTATGTTATATTGTGTCTAAAATATAATTTAATAAATAAGTTTCCTTCCGTAAATAATTGATATTTAATTCAATGTGATTTTTTGTGAGGTTTTCTGGAGGTATACATCTCCAGAAAGCCTCGCAATTTTACTAAGTGCGTTTTATTTCGAGAGCTATGTTCATTTCCGATCAATATTGATGTTTTTGGCCAATCTAGGTTATGTATTATATATTCATTATATTGACTAAATTTTTGGTCAAAAACAGGGCGTTTAACCTGCCTTGCATCCATTATGATGAAAACATTGCATTTTAATTGAAATCGTCCCACGCGATAACAATTGCTGCTATTGCTCACTTTTTGTTCTCGAAAAGGAATAATATTTAGAACTCGTGATTGAGTACTCGTTTCTTTCTTAGTTGATTACAAATTACAAAAACTGAATTTAAAGTATGTTCACGAAAAAGCCAAAGTCTGTGTCTCTAAAAAACAAGAAAAATTGACACAAACACTCTCTTTTTCACACGTTTCCAAAATCAAAATCGATGTTTTTCTTAAATTTCAGGTTTATTTTCTGATTGTCATGCAACATTTTCTGTTCAGTTTTTGTAATTTGTAATCAACTAAGAAAGATGTAAAAGTGCGAGTGAGTCTTAATTCCAGCTAGTAAAGTGTACTGTATTTAAATAATGTCTTAGGTACTTTTACATTGTAAATATATAAGTTCTATAGTATTTCCGATGCCGAGCATTTGTATTTCATCACCAATAGCTCAGTCCTGACTCTAATAAACCTCTACTTTTAGGCTAATGTCCGAATTTAGAATTTTAAATATTCTTAATAGCCACACGTCTCTCATAATTGCCACTATACGAACACAATCACATTAACAGTTTTTAACTGTTTATTAAGAAGTAAAACTGGAATCTGTCGTGTGGTTGTAGAAAGGATATTCATTAGATAGTTTCATATCACTGAAGAAAAATATATTAATGCAAAACGTTTTAATGAATTATTAAATTGTTAAACCAATATTGTTATTTTACATTATTAATCGCTTCTGCGATTGTTATATTTAACTACGGCGAATGTTTCCGAAGAGTTTGTTAAAATCCAGTGTATAAACTGTGAAGTCTCAGTACGTAAATCACTCCTTCAGACAAACTGTGAGCATTTGAACGAATTAATAGCTTCTTGCTCTTCGTCCTCATCACCGTTGCAATTACAGTACAGTGAATGCTGCTCTCTTTTCAAGAGTTTATAAAGGAGTTCTGCAAATTAAATAAGTAAATGTAAATATTAATGTTTGCAATTTTTACAGCTATTTGAAAACATATCAGTTTCATTTAACATCTACGGAAAATAGTCTGGAAATATATAAACTTGGAAAAGATTTCAAAATAGAAGATATTGTGCCAATCTGCAGAAATTACATTCAAATGAATAATGAAAATGTGTGTTTTGAATCCTCCTGTATCAAACTAATTTGTAAATCCTGCACATTCTGGATGTATATCAGTTGCATTAATAGATTTTTCATTTTTCCCATTTTTTTAATAAAAAATTTATACTTTTTTATATGTATATTTATAAATAGCAACTTAAATTTTCTTTAATTTTAGATGCTACGAAAATGTTGTGTGCCCGGTTATACTGTACAGTACGTCTAATTACGGTACACAGAAAGAATACACTAATGTTTTCAGTTTTCCCAAAGATCCTGTTCAATGTAAACAATGGATTAAAGCCATATATAGAAAAGATTTCGAACCTAGTGTTAATTCTGCAGTTTGCATACATTATTTTGATGAACAGTTTATATTAGAAAAGATAGTGCGGTGCTTGATAATGGCACTGTTCTCACTATTGGATGTAAAAAAGGATGCATTTTCTACAAAATTTCCATATCAATACTATACTTTTAACGAAAAAACGCAATGCAGAAGAAAGATCAGCTGAATTGCTTGAAAGAGAAAAAAAAAGTATAAGAATTGGTCATCCATAGATAAGATTAATTTTAAAAAATTGGAAGGAAAAGAATTCCTATAGATTGGATTACAATACCATCTGAAATGGATTCATTACGATATATTTCTTCTCTATAATAGATGTTACACAATGGGGTTAAAATTATGGAAAGTTTATCTGTTGAAATATGGCAAAATGAAATTTTAATTGCTCTATCAAAATTTAAGTGGATATTAAGTGATAGCACGAAATGTGATTTATGGAAAGAGTTTGATTGTTTAATAAGTCACTTGAATTCATATAAGTCAGATATAAGTGATAAATTGGAATATGCATCCATTTTAATTAATGAATGTCTAGAACAGGGGTGTGTCCAACCTTTTTTGTTCCTCTGGGCCACATTGGAAGAAGTCATAGAGTTTTGGGCCACAAGTATAGCCTATATAATATATTTGTGACCCAATCCTTAAATATACAAGTATATTTAAGGATTAACATGTCTAGATTATAGTAATAAGTATTAAAACTTTATCACGAAAAAGAATATTTAAAAAAAATTACTTCTACAGACCCTTTCAATTTTTACTTAGAAATAAATAAATTCATTTATTATAAAGGAGACAAACAAAAATTTATTAGAAAAACACAAATATTCGTTTTATTTGGGTCTCTAATTAATAAAAAACGACGAAACACTATTTTAAAGTGCATTTTTATTCGACTAATATATTTAT